GCCCCGCTGCGCGCGGCGACCGCACCCCCAGCGGCGCGGCGGCGCGAAGCCGCAACAGCAAGGGAGGCGGCGGCGCCGCCACGAGAGCGGGGGGCTTGAGAGGCGTCCGGCACGACTTCAACGTCAATGGTGGGGGGGCTGGCGGCCGCGCCACCTGCGGCCAGCGCCCGCCCACCGCCCTGCGCGGCCGCCGCAGCCGCCGCTGCCGCAGCGGCCGCAGCGGCCGCAGCGGGGCCGCCGGCCGCCGGGGCGGCGCCGCTGGTGCTGGCGACGAGGGCGGTGCCATGTGCTGCCGCTAGCGACTGGGTCAGGGCGGCGGCGGCGGCGCTCCGGCAGTCCTCGCAGTCCGGAGGCGCCCCGGCAGCATCCGCCGAGGCGACGCCATACGCGCCGGCGCTGCTGCCGCTGCTGCCGCCGTCAGGGGCATCTGAGTCAACGCTCCAGGCTGAAGCCAGAAGCGCGGGCGCGTCCTGCGGCGCCGCCAGCAGCGCCTGCCCGGGCCCCTGCTCCTGCCCCCAGCCCCCGCCCCCGTCAAGTGCCGCCGCAGGCGCCTGCGGCACCCGCAGCAGCAGCTGCGCGCCGCCGCCGCTGCCGCCGCCGCCTAAGCCCCCGCGGGGGCCGGCGTGCAGCGCCGCTTCGAGCTGCGCGACAACCTCCTGCATGCGCCTGTGCTGAGTCAGCATGCCGGCCGCCATGTCGCCCTCGAGCTCGCCCTCCCCCAGCCGCGGGGCCAGCATGGCGCTGAAAGTCGTGAGCGCGCGCAGGGGCCCCCGCACCTCACGCAGCAGCGAGCGCGCGAGCCGCTGCCGCGCGGCGGCCTGCGCACCCGAGATCGAGCTGCGCAGGTCCATCGCGCACGCCTTGGCGAGCGGGCCGGCCGCGGAGCGGAGGCACCACAGCACGTCGTCGCCGGCCGGCGGCGCGGGCGCGGTTGAGGCCGCGCCCTGCGAGCCGCCGCCGCTGGCACTGCCATTGCTGCTGCTGCTGCTGCTGCTGCTGCTGCTGCTGCTGCTGCTGCTGCTGCTGCTGCTGCTGCTGCTGCTGCTGCTGCTGCTGCTGCTGCTGCAGCTGCTGCCAATCGCCTCTGCCACGAGCAGGCCCACCAGAAAGTCGCCCTCCACCAAGGGTATAACCAGCGACGCGCTGTTGGGCAGAACCACCACCTCCTCGCGCACCAGGGACGCCTCAACGTCGCAGACACCGCCCTCCACGCCCCCAGCCGCCGCGCCGGCGCCGGCACCTGCGGCGGCGCCGGCGTCCCACCACGCGCCTGCCCTCAGGATCACCAGCTCATCCCCCTGCTGCTGCTGCGGCGCCTGCTGGGCTTCCTCTGCCCCCCACTCGGGACGCTGCTTGCCGACCGCCGCGTCGGGCCAGGACGCCGCCCGCACGAGCTGGAGGTCGCCGCCGCGGTCCAGGCTGGCGGCGGTGCGCGCGTACACCGTGAGGCGCGGCTGGGGCGCGGGCGGCGCGCCCGGCGGCGCCGCGAGCCGCGCGAAGCGGCCCAGGGTCTCATGCAGGGCGCGCAGCTGCGCCAGGGCGAGCTCCCGGAGGTCGCTGCTGGGCTGCGACGAGGAGGCGCAAAGCAGTGTGGGCGAGGAGGCCAGAGTGGAGTCAGATCACCGGCGAGACACGCAGGCTGCTCGACCAAACCACCTTTGTTCGTGCATGCGCAGCTGAAATGCGCAGCTTCAACTAGGTCGCGAGCAAGCAGGCGTGCTCACCTGGTATTGGCTGCTGCCGTCGTCATCAATAGAGTCGACGCTGCCCAGAGGGGCACGCGCGTAAGCAGACGGCGCAAGCGCCGACAGCGGCGGCGGCGGCGGCGGAACCGGCCCTTCGGACAACAGGCTCGCTGCAGGATGGGATCAGGTTTGAGGGCATCTTTTGCGCACTGCTTGGTTGGTGCGCATGCGGTGCCTCGGAACGTTGTCATGCGCTTGCAACTAAACTCCCTGCGCCACGCGCGCGCCAGGCGCGCCTGCAGACCACTCACCAACGGCAGCGCAGCCCCAGCTGGGAGGCTGCTGAGTAACATGTTTGGACGCTGTCCTTCGCAGGCACACGCGTGGAGGAGGCCATGGAGCCCTGCCAACATTCCTCCGGCCAGTGCGCAGGCCTGCTGCACGGCCGTCCAGGCACGGCAAGCGCGTGTTGCTCATAATATTGGTGTTTAAATCAAGTCCCTAACAGCTTGTACCACTTTGTCGTGGTGAATGGACGCGTCGAGATACTGAGATACACACGCGCTTTGCCAGACGTTGCGAGACTGAAAAAATACTGACGCGTGCACAATTGATTGTGAAGAGGAGCACAGAGCTGCGGGGTGCCAAGATGCGCGCCCGCGCCTGCCCTGATGCCGCTGGCGCAACAGCGTAGTCACGCACTTCATTTGCCCAGGCCTCACCCCTCACAGCACTGTGCTGTCCGGCTTTGCAGGCGCTCCCAACGTCGCGGTGGGCACAACTCCTGCGATCTACATAGCAAACTTCTTCCTGCACCACATCGAGAAGCTCGTTGTCCGGCAGCTTGCCCCTGCTGCCCACCTCGCCACTGCTGACCTGTCCATGGCTGAGACGGCGTCCCAAGCGCTCACGTACTGCTCTGACCTGCGTGCCCCCTTCTAAGCCATGGGCGACCATTCACATCCTGCGTGCGATGCAAGTCCCAACGTGGTACGTGGACGATGTGATTATGTTTGCCAATCCATACCTGGCACTGCCGGCCTACAACGACCAGGAATGGCCGGAGTTCCGCGACATTTCTCCTCCTCAACTAAATCTGCAGCCCGCCTGCACCGGCTTTACCATCTGCTCCTTCTTGGGCGCCATGGCCCATGCAGACCGCGGCCCCCTGCCCCACACCGCACAAGCTGACAAAAACACGGCAGGTTGTGCGTCTTGGTACAGTACCACGCTGTATGACAAACGCCGCAATCCCGAGTTGCAGGCTGTCCATGCGCTCTCCCCCAATGTCAGATTTCCCCACAGCACGTCCGCACGTATGTTGACATCGTCAAAAACGCCCTGTCTGCCAATTTCACCGCTTGCACAGCATCGACACGACGCGGGAAACCTATGCCGCGGAGCTGGGGCTGGTCTTCACTAAGCTCTGCCTTCAGGGCTCCCTTGCTCGGCCCCGTGCTGCACCGCCGCCTGCACATGCTGCTGCACCGCTACGTACCCGGGAATCTTCCAACACACCAGCACCTTTCAGCCGCACATGCTGGTCCGGTGAGGATCCTCAGCACCATTCTTGTCTACACAGAGGAGTGCGGCCTGTTTAATGCAGCACGTGTTATCCGCAGCCGCACAGCCGCGTGGCAGGCGGCGCAGCAGCGCGTTGGGGGCCACCGACTGTAAATCGACTCGCCTTTGCGCTCAGGTTATTCGTGATACGAGTCCCGGTGGAACGTATCATACGGTCAGGGATATCCCACTTGCTTTGAATAACAAAAACAAGGTTCCCACGCACCATGTGGGGAATCAGCTGCTTGCTGCAAACTTGCCACTTCCTGTCCCCTGTGCTCAGAGACAGGGCCACGGTTGCCTTTCCAGAAAGCATTGAGCAAGCACAAGCTTCCAACTCCCTTAATTTCAGAAAAGCTTCCAGTTATGATAGCTACAGTACGGGTTACGTAAGTTCCCTGACAATAAGACGCGGTATTTGTGCCCGCCGAAGTTGCCGAGTGGATAATCTAGGACTGGCCCGGGCAGCTGGAAATGCTGTCATCCAAGGCCGTGGCCGTGCCAGGTACGCGACAGGCAAGGGCAGTGGCGGCGCTCGCCTCACCACGCCGTGGCGCGTGCAGCGCGATGCGCACAAGCCGGCAGCGCCTCGCAGCAGTGGGCGCAACTTTGCAGGTCAGCAGCAAACGCCCGGGAAAAAAACGCAGCGCCCGCCCGCCTGCTATATGGGTCGGCATCCACTCGTCAGACACACCAGATGTGGGAGGGAGTTGGTGCATTGCTGCTGTGAGCTTGCGTCCTAGGCCAGCTCAGCAATGACCATCGTTTTTCTCCGTGAGCCATGCTACCGGCTGCATGGGCGCCTTATGTCGCAAGGGTGTGTGCAACACGCTGATTTGTAAAAAAAATGGGAAGGGTCCGCAATGAACAGAGCTGACCCATGACATCTGTGCCGTACTCGTGTGACGCAGCCTGGCGGCGGCTATGGGGGTGGCTCAAACATCCGCCGTGCACTCGTTGGCAGCGGGGGAGATGACAACAGCAATGGCGGTGGCCAGCCCAGATTGAGCATCCTGGTGGGTTTGGGGGTTGTGGGACGCCCGACATGGTGGCATGGCCGGCACGCTTGCAGGGTGAGGGACTCGCATTCAGGCGGCCCACAAGCTCTGAGGAACATGCAGCCATCTGTGTGCACAGCGGCGCGCATGCAGGTTGCAGGCATTGCCAGAGGGCCCATGGGAGCATGCATGAACCGCACTGCCGGCTGCCCGGCACGCACTGCCGGAAGCACCACCGCGGGACCTCTGCAGCCTGACTCCAACCCGCATTGAAGCCTGCTGCGCTGGAGACGCACACCTCCCCGGTGCCCCTCTTGCGCGTAGGACGAAGTCTCCTCAGTGCTGTGGCAGCTGGTGTTGGTGCTTGCCTGCCTTTGGGGGATTCTGGCGGCCGTGCCGCCTTGCATTACCTCCGTCAAGGGGCTAGCCACCACCCCAGAGCTCCAGGAGCTCAGGAAAGACCTGAGGGCAGACCTGGCGTTTAAGGCAGACCTGCTCGTGCTCAAGGCAAACCTCAAGGCGGAGGTGGCGTCCAAGACGGATCTGCTCAACAGGAAAATGCAGGAGCTGCATGTGTCCCTCAAAGGAATGGAGGTGTCGATTGCTGCGCTGGCGTCTGCGAGGCCACTCCAGGGCAGAGGCTGAGCAGGCCCACGGTCCCCCTTTCTATCCATTCTTCACATCAAGGACTGCCCCCCTGCTTTCCCCCATATGTCATATCACGCAACCTCCATGCAGCACCCATGTGCAGGCCCCTGGCCATACCAGTGTTGCGTGTTACTGCGGCCCCCCTCACATCACACCGCAACACATGCTTCACGAGCAGCAAGGGCGAGAAACCCCTGAACAAGGGGCACTCCCTTGCTCCCAATAGGTTATCACCCCCAGCCAGACTACTGGTCGGAGAACAACTTGGGTGCGGCCAAGTCGGCAAGTAGCAGGGGTGTGTGCCGGAGAGTCAAGCGGGCCTGTTCAAGCGGAATGGATTCAACAGCTGTCCTCCAGGTGGATGGTGACATTAAACATTCAGGCGGTGTCACACGCAACGGGCTCTGGCGCGCAGCCAGCTCGGAGACCACACGCACCTGGCATCCAACCAGCTGTGAGAAGGCAGCTGGTCTGCATGAAGGCAGCAGGTCGGCAGCTGGACGGCCTCGGTTGCTTGCATTTGATGCTGGCACTTGTGCCACGGCCTTTTTGTCTTCCTTATGTGCTTGCAAGTGGTTTCTGCCAGTGGCGCGGCCCCCGCTGGTCTGCGTACGAACCTACTGTAGAATTTGCCGCCTAGAGGACACCCTTGGAGGCCCCAGGCAGCTGTTGGTCGGTAGATGCCAGTACTCATAGGACCCCTCGCACAGCACCAGTGATCAATGATCGTCATCCAAGCGGCAAGCAAGCCAGAAACAGCAGGGTACGCCACCGCAATTGCAGATCAGCCCCTGCTGGCGTCGCATCAAGGGTGTGAGAGATTGCACTCGCCCTGGCCCGGCGCTTGCTATGCACTGGCGCCTGTTGTGCTCGACACCAACTCCGCTAGGGTTGTGCCGAACTTTGCTTGGTATGCCCCCTGGAATTGCTGCTACTTGTTATGGGGAACCAACCAGCACTGAAGCCGGCTGCCTTCCCGTGCTCTTGTGGGGGGAGCAAGCCCGGCGCCGTCCACGGGAAGACGGCTGCAACCAATCAGGCCCGGGCACGTTCACTGCAAGACAATGCTCGCATGTCTTTGACTTGCACAACGTGCACATGTTCGGTTGGGGCGCGCGGTCCCGGGGACGCCAACTTATGCACACCGACCAGCCCCCCGCTCCTGTATCCCACCCCACCCTCCGCTCTTCCGTTGTGAAGCAACGTCCCCAAACCCTTACCCCGCCATTATCCATCCTGACAGTGGCATCCGCCCCTTCTCGGCCCCCACCCTCACTCCCATGC